AAAAAAAAAAAAAAAAAAAATAGCTGGGTGTTAGGGCAGAAGCAGGCATGGCTGCCATTTTAGTTTTGAAGGTCAAGGTCCACTAATGTGCTTTCGTCCTTCCAGCCACAACAGCCCAAGGAAGAAAGAATATGGAGCTCTTCCAGCAGCTGACCTCCAGGTGGGCCCTGGAGGCCAGATGTCAGGCCAAATCTATGCTCTCCCAGGGTGGCTTTCCAGAACACTTCAGTCTGCGGTTCTAAGAAAATCCAGATTGGGGTAGGGCGGCAGGGGAGTATTTTCTACTTCAAATCTATAATACTCTTCCTTTAATCAGCTTTGAAACAGGCCTTCCCCCAACCTGGACACCAGCGTGAGTTCCAGCACCAGCTGGGAGGGGAGGCCCACAGCGTACTTCTCACTTTAATACCAAATCTTTCTGACAAACACATGCAAACAAAACCATGTTCCTTTCAGGGACTATGACGGGAGGTCTGATCTTCATGTTGGAATAACTAACACAAATGGTGAGTGCAGTGTCTTACCTTTTCATTTAGCTGAACACCCCTGCCCCTCCAATACCCAGTTATAGGAGAGCACCATTTCTAGAGAAGATACGTTCATGGCAACATTTATTTTTATTTATTTATTTATTTATTTATTTATTTATTTATTGCAGTTTTTGGCCGGGGCTGGGTTTGAATTTGCCACCTCCAGCATATGGGACTGGTGCCCTACTCCTTTGAGCCACAGGCGCCACCCTATTTTTATTTATTTACCTTATTTTATTATTATTATTATTATTAATATTTTGAGACAGAGTCTTGCTTTGTCACCCTTGGTAGAGTGCTGTTGCGTCATAGTTTACAGCAACCTCAAACTTTTGGGCTCAAATGATTCTCTTGTCTCAGCCTCTCGAGTAGCTGGGACTACATGCACCCGCCACAACACCTGGCTATTTTTCAAAGATGGAGTCTCACTCTTGCTCAGGCTAGTCTTGAACCTGTGAGCTCCAGTGATCCACCCACCTCAGCTTCCCAGAGTGCTGGGTGTACAGGCATGAGCCACCGCCTCCAGCCTCAAGGCAACATTTAACTAGCAATTCTTTCCTTCTCTGGGGTCTCCTACTGCCCTGTGAGGTAAGTTTTGCTATACCCCAAAGTAAGAAATATTTGACTTTATGGCAAATTATTACTAATATGACTAAACATCTGAAAGTTATTTAATGTTTTCTCAGTGAAGAGGCTTGAAAACCTGAAAAGTTTTTGTTGATCTTTGGGAGAGGAAAAATCAGATGCTCAGAAGATCTGCCCAATTTTTTTTTTTTTAAAGAAACAGAGTCTTACTTTGTCGACCTTGGTAGAGTGCCATGGTGTTACAGCTCACAGCAACCTCCAGTTTTGGGGCTTAGGTGATACTCTTGCCTCAGTCTCCCGAGTAGCTGGGGCTACAGGCACCTGCCACAATGCCTGGCTATTTTTTTCTTTTTTTTTAGAGACAGAGTCTCAGTTTGTCACCCTTGGTAGAGTGCCGAGATGGCACAACTAACAGCAACCTCCAACTCTTGGGCTTAGGTGATTCTTTTTTTTTTTTATTATTTATTTAGTTAGTTAGTTTTTGTAGAGTGGTTTCTTTTTTTTTTTTTTTGGCTGGGGCTGGGTTTGAACCTTCCACCTCTGGCATATGGGGCTGGCACCCTACCGTTTTGAGCCACAGGCGCCACCCACGCCTGGCTATTTTTTTTTTGTTGCATTTTGGCCGGGGCTGGGTTGGAACCCACCACGCCAGTGCCCTACTCACTGAGCCACAGGCGCCACCAGATCTGCCCAATTTATATATATTTATCTCCTGAGTCTAAACCAGAATTTGGACCCAGGCCCTGATTCTCCAGTACTTCTTTCTTTCTTTTTTTTTTAGACAGAATCGTACTCTGTCACCAGGGCTCTGTACAGTGGTTTGATGACAGCTCATTGCAGCCTCAAACTCCTGGGCTCAGGCTGTCCTCTCGCCTCTCATGCCTCTGAACAGCTGGGACTACGTCAGCATGGTTGATCAAGTTTTTGTTATTTTTTGTAGAGATGGAGTCTTGCTACATTGCCTAGGCTGGTCTTCATCTCATAGCCTCAAGCACTCCTTCCCCCTCAGCTTCCCAAAGTGCTGGGATTACAGGCACGAGCCACTACACCCTGCCTTGATTCCCCAATTCTATATCCAGTCCGGCCCACTACCTCACACTCTAGGGTCTTCAGGGGCCATGACACCTTAGGATGTGGCGGGGCTTGCAGTGGTTCGCTTTAAGGTAAATTTTTTATTTTTTTTGAGACAGAGTCCCACTTCGTTGCCCTTGATAGAGTGCCGTGGTGTCATAACTCACAGCAAGCTCGAACTCTTGGGCTTAAGCAATTCTCTTGCCTCAGCCTCCCAGGTAGCTGGGACTACAGGTGCCCACCACAACGCCCAGCTATTTTTAGACATGAGGTCTTGCTCTGGCTCAGGCTGGTCTCGAACCCATGAGCTCAGGCAATCCACCAGCCTCGGCCTCCCAGAGTGCTATAAATACATGAGCCACTGTGCCCGGCACTAAGGTGAATTTTCAACAAAACAGTTGCTTTGGCCAAATTTAGCTCTGAGGGTACTAAATTTACTGTGCCTGAAACCAGAAGCATTTTTTTTTTTTGAGACATAGTGTCACTCTGGCACCCTGAATAGAGTGCCTTAGCATTGTAGCTCACAGCAACCTCAACCTCTTGGGCTCAAGCAGTCCCCTTGCCTCAGCCTCCTGGGTAGCTGGGACTACAGGCCAGACACATTCTTTTCTACAGAATAAAGGTCAGGGTGCAGTCCCTTGCAGGAAGTGTGATCTGGAAATGAGAGCCAGGTGAGGCTCAAATCACAGGCCTCCCAGGTGAAGTCTGATAACAGCCTTTCCTTAACCCCCAGAGGCGAGAGAAACTGACACTGTGACCGGAAACCCAGAACAGGTTTTTGGAACCCGGCTTTACCCACTTGAGCAGCCACACTTAAACTACTAATCTTTATCAGTGGAAACTCATTGCTGAATTAAGGAAACTCTATAGAGGGATCTGCAAATAGAGAATTTTGATAGCAATATTTGGAGATATTATCCTGGCGTCTCTGTTCCCTGAGAACAACCCCACAACCTGAACGGCAGGTAGAAGAACCGGATTTCCCTGAAGGAGATGCTTTGCTGATAAGGGGGTGGGGGGCAAGGAGAAGGGTGCTGAGGCTACGTAAATCCCTCCCTGACTCCAGCCGAGACCATATGTAAATCTCATTAGATGGATGGAAGGAGATTCTACAGTCTCTCACCCGTCCTGTCTGGCAGTTAGAGGAAAATGCCACCAGAATTTACATGATGTTACCAAGTTGGCAGCTGTCATTTTTCTGACATCCGTTTTTCACAGAAGGGTATTTTTTCCTAGAGTCTCTGCATAACTTTGGTTCTGGTTGGCAGGAGCTGTGTATAATTACAACATGCATGGTGTCCAGCGTGACAACTCAGGGTGGGAGCAGAGCATAAGTATCCCATTACTGCAGCCCAACATGTACGGACTGATGGACCAGTGGGACAAGTACCTGGAAGACTTTTCCACCTCGGGGTCCTGGCTGCCCCACAGGTATGTAGCTGCAAAGACCGCCCTCCAGGGGCACTCATGTGCCACCAGCTGACCCCTGTGTCTCTGTGTGGTCTCTGCTCACAGAAGACTGAGCTGCACTTAGCTTCCTGCTGAGCCCACCCTGAGATAGCAGCAGTACCTAGAATGGAATTTAAACAGGGGTGAATTACTTCGGGTTTTCCGCAGAGGTGGGTAAGCACGCCTTTATATACCAAAATCACAGCATTTATTTTAGTTATGTGACTAAGTACTTTTACATATAAATAGCAAAAGTCATGATGTTACATATCCTTACAACAAAATTTTTTAAAACAATGTTCAAAATGTAAAAATATTTAAAGTCCGTATTTTTGGCCCAGTGTAGTGGCTCATGCCTGTAAAGGAGACCGAACTGGGGGGATTGGTTGACCTAAGGAGTTCAAGACCAGCCTGAGCAAGAGCGAGACCCTGTCTCCACTAAAAATAAAAAAACTAGCTGGACGTCGTGGTGGGCATTTGTAGTCCCAGCTACTCAGAAGGCTGAGGCAGGAGGATCACCTGAGCTCAAAGGTTTGAGGTTGCTGTGAGCTACAAGGATGCCATGACATTCTACACAAGGCAACAGAGTAAAGACTCTGTCTCAAAATAAACAAACAAAAAAACCTCGTATTTTATTAGTTTTAGCAATTCTGAAATTAATTTCCCAACTCCTCATTCCCTCAATACTTTAGAAGCTGTACAGCATACTTACGCTGTTTGGAGGGTTCTCTTGAAATAATTTTAAACACTGTGGGATATCATAAAACTCAGATATAGAATTTCCCTTCTAAAATCTAAAATTTCAGTGAAATTAAGTCCCCCAAATTGGCAGTTTACATGCAACTAAGTCACCGCCCTGAACATGTTGGGGAGACTGTGCCTACCTGTCCTTGCGCCCCAGAATTGCACCTCTAGCTTTGTAGCCAAGTGCGCCAGCAAACACAGGCTCCAGCTCACACCCAGGAGGAGCTCAGCGTCAATCACCAAAGTCCTTCAGTAGCTTCACAGACTGTTCCTGAGCAGCTCTTTTATTTATTTATTTATTTGAGACAGAGTCTCAAGCTGTTGCTTTGGGTAGAGTGCGATGGCATCACGGCTCACAGCAACCTCAAACTTTTGGGCTTAAGTGGTTTACTTGCCTCAGCCTCCCAAGCACCTATTTTTAGAGACAAGTGGCTCAGGCTGGTCTTGAACTCATGAGCTCAGGCATCTACCCTCCTTGGCCTCAAAGAGTGCTAGGATTTTTTTGTGTGTGTATTTTTTGAGACAGTCTCACTATGTTGCCCTCTGTAGAGTACTGTAGAGTTATAGCTCACAGCAGCCTCTTGGGCTTAAGCGATTCTCTTGCCTCAGCCTCCCAAGTAACTGGGCCTACAGGTGCCCGACACAACGCCCGGGTACCTGAACAGCTTTTATAGCGCAGCCTTCTCTTCCCCCGCCCCTGTTCTGTAAGGTACAAAGAAGACAGTCACAACTGCTACAGTTACGCCCTCACCTTCATTAACTGCGTCCTGACCACAGAAGGCAAAGAGCAACTGGACAAGAGTGAATTCACAGAGAGATACGTGGTCCCGAGGACAAGGCTGGCTTCCAAGTACATCACAGTCCACCGGGCCATAGAGGAGCAGGGCTTCTACGTGACTGACCTTCCCCACCAAGAGACACAGCCTCCTTCAGGCAGTGGTTTGTGCTGACCGCTGTGAGCGCAGAGGGACTGGGCGTTTGAAGCTGCTACCTTTCATAGGTCCTGCAGAGTTCCCAGTGCCCTGGACTGTGGTCAATAAAGTGGGCGGCTTCCCTTTCCATGTATTTCAGCTTCCTATAGCGTAAGAATTTATAAAATTTATAATAAAGATTGTCCTGGGTTTAAAAAACTACGCATTACAACTAAATTATCTTACACCAGTTGGGTTTTAAACTGAGCATCCATGTCACAGCAGGAAGTGGCAGCACCTTTATTCCCAGCAGTGGAAGCTGCTCCTATAAATTAATTCAGGCTGAACAAACTCACCTTTCAATGTGGATCCAGAAAGTGGGAATTGAAGAGAGGAAAGTGAGTGAGACATAAGTTATGAAGTAATGAGTACCTTGCCCTGGTGGTTTTTATTTTAAAAAGCACATGGTTCCCTCCTCTGTTTATGATTAAAATCCAGTGGAAGCCCCCATACCTGACCACCTCCTTAAGCCAACCTAATTTTCATAGACCGGACATGTACCACATGTAAGTATCAGCACAGTAGGCCCAGTTCCTTATGCTGGCCACCTGTTTGTTGACTAGCTGGTTACAGTCCCCTGGGTGGTCAACTTACAGAGGTCCCCCTGTGTGTGCGTGTGGGTATATGTATAAAGCATGTGGCAACCTTGTAATAGTAAATACAACAGGAAAACTAAACAAAAACCATCAGAATCTAGGTCAGACGATGGCTACTCCTCTCTTGGGAGCTCTTCTGAGCCTTCGCGCACCACCTGGGCTTGCAGTTACTCAAGTCAGTAACACATCGGTCTATTTCCTTTTCATTTGGCCTGACCTGACTCATGGGGATTGGGGTGTTGGGTTTGCCACTGCAAAGCATTTCTTCTGCTCACTCAAAATACAAAATTTAGAAAGGACACAAAGGGCTATCTTCCTTCTGTAATATAATACTTTTGGGAGGACAAAGGGGGAAACTGGGATGAGTAACTACGAAGAAATGAGGTGATTTTTAACAAGAGCATTAGAATCTGAATACCTAAATAGTCATCAAACTTCAAATGGCCAATGTGCAAAATGTTTTAGAATTCCTGTTTGGAATTCATTGAGAAATCACATTGCTTTTGACCACAGGTGATACACTACTCCACTTAATCTCATTCTCCAGCCTTGGCAAAAAAAAAAAGTCTAATTTCTACAAACCAAAGCCATCTTCAAGGTACCAATAATTACTTTGTGTTAAAATAACATAATGGAAAGCCAATATGCTGAGATGGATCCAACACCCAGGTTCCTGTTATATTCAAACGAAATGAAACTTAAACGGTGGCCAATTATGAATGGTCAACTGAGCATTTGTTATATAATCAGATACTTCCCACCACAATAATCCAGATAACCTTTGACCAACCAATTTCTTTTTCTTTTTTTCTTTTTTTTTTTTGAGACAGAGCCTCAAGCTATCCCCCTGGGTAGAGTGCTGTGGCTTCACGCTCACAGCAACCTCCAACTCCTGGGCTCAAGCGAGTCTCCTGCCTCAGCCTCCCAAGTAGCTGGGACTACAGGCGCCTGCCACAACGCCT